TTCCCTACCGTTGTTTGAAATCAGCCTCAGAGGGAACATCGCAGATGTCAGCAAAGGCTAGACACCAACGCCCCCTTTCTCCTCCCCACCCCGTCCAGCCACTGTGGAACATTCGCTGCGCCCCCACGGCATCTAGCACACTGGGATTTGCAACCTGGGATTCTGAGGAGCCCCCTACCAGGGGCTCCGCAGGGGCTGCCCAGACACGAGCACCAACCCACTCTCTTAAAATCCCCGGGACTGGAGTTCCTCCAGGCCTCTGGTCTGGGACCTTGTTAGAAATGCAGATTCTCGGGCCCCACCCCTGCATTTTAACCAGGAGCCCAGGTGCTTCCAGCTCTCCCAAGGTCTGAGCAGCTCTGCTTTTTGCTTTTTCCAAATGCGGCATCGAGGACTCCTCCCAGGGCACCCAGCCGGGCAGGCAGACGCACCCCCCGCCAGGCACGTCCTCAGGCCTCTCCTCCCAGCTCACGTGGTAGCTGGTTGGCTAACCTCAGAAAGCACTCAGCACTCGCCTCTCACCATCTGCTTCTCCCCTGCAGTGGTGGGGTGAGAGGCAGGGAGAAGACAAATGCTGGCTGCAGAGAGGTCTTCTCTGCTGGTACGTGAGGAGCTCCCCCTGCCGTGGGGCCAGGCAAATCCACATATTCATTGTCCAGGAGAAGCGAAGCTCCAGGGAGGATTAGAGGAAGGGAGAATCTGCTTGCACATCTGGCATTATGGTCAGGAGACATCCCCAATATGCTTGCTAAACAGAGACTGCCCAACGAGAATTAAAATTCTTCCTTCCGGGGGCCACCCAGGACTGTCTGCTGAGGCTGGGCCTGGGGCCACTGGAAACAGAGGGGTGGAACCAGCTCTGTGGGGTGGGGCAGGGAGCTGAATCTTCAGTGTCACTTAGATCAAGAAAAGCTAACTGATAATACTGGCTGCTGGGGTTTATAGAACTGTGTTGTACTAAGCATCTGGTCTCATATCAGTCTCATTATCCCCATTTTAGATAAAACCAAGGCTAAGAGAGCTCACAATTATTTGCCCAGGGTGATATAAAGGGTGGAGCCTCATTGCCCAGGAACCCGGTTCTTGGGCTTAACTGTTTCTCCGGATCTCTTTCCTCGGGCAAGCCTGTCTGCCGCATGCGGTTTGATAAAGACATGGCTGCCTTCAGCCACATCCCTTTACTCTTCTCGGGAGGTTCTGGCCCAGAAAGATATAAGCGTCAAGTAACTTTACTGTTCATGCTGAGAACGTCTCGGAAACACTTGTAAACCAAACTTAATTTCAGACTGTAATAAAGAATAAAAAAGCATTTATCTGAGCAAAAAGAGCTACATACAACCCAGGAGACACTGACTCAGGTAGCACCTCGAACTGTGTTGCTCTGAGACGAAGGGGAAGCCGTCTTTTACAGAGAAAGTTCTCGCCCTAGTTCCAAATTTATGGAAATGAGGCTTCCAAAGTGTGCAGTTCTGATTGGTTGATATAGATGCAAATGAAGATATAATGCAGATAGTTTTGATTGGATGAGGCAGGTCTCTCAGTCCATTGGTCAGAAGATTAGAACAGGGCTTCCTGCATCGGACAACATAAATGAGCAGGGCATGGTGGGAGAAGCTGAAATTTCGGGCTGTGGTTCTTCCCTGGTGTACAGAGTACGTGAGAGGCCCCGTTAGCAAATGGCCACAAGACTCGTTTATAAAATTCGGGCCCTCGGTTGACCATGGGGAGTCCATCTCAGCGGATAAATACCTTCTCCAGGTTCGTACACTCAACAGCTCTTTACTAGAAAGCATCGAGTGACATTTCACACTCAAAACTCTTTGATCTGTGAAAAAAGAGATCAAAATTCAACAGAGTAAATGTGAAAATCGAATTGGCTTTATTAAGTGATTCATGAATAGAGCAGCATCTAGCAACTAGAAGGGCACTCCAAGGGTTGCACAAAATGGAAGGTTTTTTTACAGGAAGTAGAGTGGGGCAAGGGCGCTATTGATAACAGAAAAAGGATTATTTTGGGGCCAGGACGTCATGGCGGAAGGGAACAGGAAGGGTTTTAATCATTTAGGTCACCTCTTCTTTCTATGGGGTAGGGAGAGGTCCCACGTGACATGACTTTACCGGTGCTGGACCAGAAAATTCCAGACTAATTGATTAAGATTATGTTTCTGGGAGAGGCTGAAACTGCAATTAGATCAGTTTTAAGTTTACAACAAAACTGAGGGCAAGATACAGGGATTTCCCATGTACCCCCTGCCCTGCCCCACGCAGAGCCTCTGCCGTCATCAACATCCCCCAGAAGAGTGGTGCATTTGCTACATAGGACGAAGCTACACTGACACATCCGTTAAACAAAACAACTTCCGCGGCCGAAAGCTTTTCGGAAAGAAAGGGTTTACTGAGCCACATGCCAGCCAGGAAAAGACCGGGTCCCAGAACGCGCACTCTACACCGCCAGCAGCCCGGCTAGATGGAGAAGGCAGACATGTCCTCTGTCCTGGAGCTGACAGGCTCTTCCATACATTATGTGTTGGGGAAGAAAGATGTAAGAATTTATAGTGGCTACAAATAACGGGGGTGGGAAAAAGTGGAGGGAGCAGTTCTATGATAGGTCTGTAAATCTGTAAGGAAGAAATATTTACTACTTTTGATTGGTTACAGACAGTAGTCCTAAAAGTTCACGAATATGCAGAATGCAGTGGCGCCTCGTGATTGGCTAACAGGTGCCTAGAGGCTGAATCAAAGCTTCAACATACATTCAGGAATGAGAGGGGCCTTTCGTGAGCTGGCCCACAGCCATTAACCGGCCAACCACTCTTTATCTCTTTTGCTGCTATAATTTGGAACAGCTCAGGATTTTTCTGTTGTTAATCATCATCACCCAGATGGTTACATTAGGGTTCACCCTTGGTGTCGGACGTTCTCTGGGTTTGGACAAATGTGCATTGACAAGTAGCCATCGTTATAGTATCATACAAAATGGTTTCGTTGCCCTAAAAATCCCCTATCCTCTAACCCCTGGAAACCACTGATCTTTTTACTGTGTCCATAGATAGTTTTGCCTTTTCCAGAACGTCACGTAGTTGGAACCATCAAGCATATAGTGTTTTCGGGTGGGCCTTCACTTAGTCACATGCATTTAAGGTTCCTCCATGTCTTTTCATGGGTTGATAGTTCATTTCTGTTGTCTGGATGGACCACAGTTTATTCATCCATTCACCTACTCAAGGACAGCTCGACTGCTTCTAAGTTTTGGCAATTATGAATAAAGCTGCTATAAACATCCATGTGCAGGTTTTTGTGTGGACATAGTTTTCAAGTTTAGGTAAATATCAAGCAGTGTGCTCGCTGGATCGAAGAGTAAGAGCATATTTAGTTTTGTAAGAAACGGTCAAACCATCTTCCAAAGCGGCAGGACCACTGTGCGTCCCCGCCAGCAAAGGGTGGATCCTGCTGCTCCATGTCCTCACCAGCATTCGGTATCTCATTGTTGTTTTAACTCATAGAGCATTTTTTTCCTGTTTTATTCAGAAATAATTGACATCTATCACTGCGTAAGTTTAAGGTGTGTAGTATGATGGTTCGATTTACATATATTGTGAAATAATTACCACAAAAGGGTTAGTGAACATTCATCATCTCACATTCATACACCGATGTGTCTTTTGCCAAAATTTCCTTCCAGTCTGTGGCTTGTCTTCTCCCTCTCTTGATAATGTATTTTTTAACTTCAGAATATCCAGAAAGTGGAACAAATAAACAAGCAGCACTTTTGGGGAGTAAAGTTCCCAAGATGTAGCAGTTAAAGAAACAGCTGGGAGGCGGGGCCCCAGGGGCTGCACACAGAGCCAGGCAGCCGGCTCCATGGGCTGATTTTGGAAGGCCGCTCACCTCAGATGACAGCCCTCGTGTCCCAGCTGTCCCTGCCCACTGGGAAGCCTGCAGCCAACGTCGCGGTGGGTCATGGCACTTTATGATAAGAGGATGCAGGAAGGACGTCAGGGTCAATGCCTGAGTGCCGAGTGCGTGAGTGTCACACTCGTGAGAGTTTAGCCCTGAGCTGTGGATCCTGGGAACCAGGACTAGGACCTGTGGATCCTCATGTGGGACAGGGCTGGGAATCTGTATTCTAAAGCCCCCAGCCCCACGCCTGTGATCCTATCAGGCAAACTCGGGAGAAGCTATACCAGCAGGGCGGCCACTTAACTAGACTACATCTGCCCACAGAGGCGGCTCTGGAGAGGCCCCCAGAGCACAGGATGGTCTAAGCCACCTCGCCGCACCTCCCCGCATCACAGACGATAAATTTATCAAACGCGCAAGAAGAAAAGTTATTCTTTTATTTAATTTAAAATAGCAGGACTTCGGCCCTAACCTAGATAATCAGGGTTGTCGTGACAGTTTTGCACATGCCAGAAAACCTCACGCTTTGTTATTGTGCCACCACGGGACATTTGTAAAAACGATTTCTTTTCTAGTTGTGGACATATGAGATGCTCTGTTTGCACCCTCGGCCGCAGCCAAATATTAATCTCTATTAAAAAACAAAAACAAACAAACAAGAACAATTCAGAAGCACAAAGAGGCAGAAGTACCTGGTAAACCTGATTAAAACAGCAAGGGCCAGAGAGGGCTCTGAGCTGAGAACGCACTGGAATGAGCCCCGTAGCACCTGCCTGGGCTGAGTGTGAGTAAACTCGCACAGAGGGATGAGTGTGAGTAAACATTAGCAGCACGGACACGGGAGGACGTGTGAGAGGGACACGCCACTGTCCTGCTCTGATCGGAAGCAAGAGCCCCTCCTGGGCCTGCAGGATGTGACTCCGCCCCACCCCCGCTGGATGGATCGAAGAGGCAATGTTGCTGTTTTCTTTCCAGGCTAGGCCCTGGCCTTAGGCCCTGGCACTGGGACGAGCCCCTCTCCCGACCACTCGGTTTCCACCCCTGGCAATAACACATTCACCCAGCTGCAGGAGCGGGCTGGGCTGCAGAGGCGGCCACGAGATGAAAATCCCCGAGTGTGACCGTTGGGAGGTTCTTACAAAGCAGACAGACGGCGCAGCACTGGCCTCCAACAAGCGGAATGAGACCGAGCGAGCCCTGGGCACCCGGAGAGGCTGTCCTCTGGGCCCCTGGCGCCCTCTGCCGGCCTTTCCTGGCTCCGGCCTGTCACGGGGAACTCAGGTCTGGCCCAGAGGCCACGCCCAGCCGGCCGTCTGAGCCAAGGACTCCAGGGCAGGCCTTTTTCCAGCATCATTCCTCCGTGGCCCATATTCAACCTCAGCTGTGAATTGTTTGCTTTTTTGAAGCTTCCTGAATGTCTGCTCCACTCTAGCAGCTCACGCGAGGGTCTTGACCAGCTAAGCCCGTGACC